TCAGCTGGTGCCCAATCTCAAACAAGGATTTTGCTTCTTTCGAGGAAAGACGAGTAGTGGGAGTATGTAATTCCCAAGGGCATTAAAGCAGATTTCGGCTGTTACAGGAGTGCCCCTTTTTGCGGAAGTAAGCACACCAACTTGTTTTTTTCCCTCACATAGATATGATCTTTGACGTCTTGTTTGGCACAGTCATTATTCCAGTTTATCGCAGTTGTAGATGTGCTTGCAAAAAAAAGATACTTTTTATAGAGTGTATCCAAGAGCCGATAGAAAGCCGTGACTACCACCTTGTTGAAACCAGCAGCTCGTGCTGCTGATGTAGCTTCGGGTAAGCGTAGGGATAGATTCCCATTTCGCTTGAAAAATCCATAGAAAAAGTCCTCCCCCCATCTCCAGTTCCTTATCAAAAAGATGATCTACCCCATTTCTGACAGCAAACTGGTAGGACAATCGGCGGAAATCTGTCAGCGTCAAACCAAAAAGGCAACTCTCCATAAACAAAATATAGTCTGCTAGACCTGTCTTCTGCTGCTTGGTGAAGATGGGCATGAAAAATACAATGAAAGCAACTTTTAGGTATAGGCACAAGGTCAACTCATGGATCAACTCCCAATGGAAATGTAAAGGGAAGTCAAGCAGGTGTTATTACTACACACCTGAAACGCTCTCTTTTTCGCCACCTCTTCCGGTTTACTATCCTTCTTCACTTTCCTGAAGAGGGTTGTCTTTGGGATATCATATGTTCTAGCTGCTGCCACAAGGCTCAACTCTTCGTTATATACTTTAATCACAGCCTCCATCATGCCTTGCTCCGACCAATCCTGTTGACCAGTTTCACGTTTGTAGTTGCGTACCATTTTGCTAAATAGGGGATAAAAAAACAAGATGAAAGAGCCAAATATCTGGCCCCTTTTTTGTGATCAAATGGGTGCAGACTTTTCAAACAGCATGGCTGGGGCAAGCGGAACACAATTCCACTATGCCCCCATCCACTTTGCCCAGAGCTAATGTCACTTTCACTCACATGGCCCACCACTGTAGGTAATATTGACCTCATCACGTATTTCTGGTCAACATAGATACAAGATTCAAAAATGTTGCATGTATCTGAAATCTACAGGATTTCATTGCTTTAACAGAAGATTTTTTTTTTTTAATATGGGTTTCTGGGGCCCAAAAAAACTATTTTTATAAAAAAAATGTACTTACCGAAATCCCAAAATGGCGTCCATCAAAAACAATGCATCATTACATTAGCTTCTAATGTACACAGTTTCAGCTAGATGGCAGCACCAACATAGCTCTACGACAGACTAACGGATACACAGACTGGACACTTCGTATACCCTGCTTGTTAAGCGTTTTGATAATGCTGCTCCCTGCGCGAATGAAGCGGGGGAGGGTTGGTTCAACTATTCAAAATGGCATTCGGGTGTCTATATTTCAAGCCGGTACGGGAGATTACAGTACGCATATATTTGCTAATTATATTGACTAACGTGCGTTCAAAAACTCCATATTCACAGCAGATCTACTAGCTAATACATGTGTCTATAGGTATCTAGATTTAAGAATATTAATCAATCTGTTAATTCACTTCCGCGGCGCACTATATTTTGCTAATATATTGACTAATCGTTGCCGTCGCAATAAACTCAATATTCACATGAGAGTTATGGGGCGTGGTGGCGCCCGGTGTCTATATGTCAAGGCGCGGTACCGAATTCATTTGGCATAATATATCTCTAGATCGTATCCCAGATATTAGCGTCTTTTGCAAAGTTTCCACAGAAGCATGCATCGTTTACTATATATTAATCACGTGTCCAATGTTATCATCACGTTTGCAAATACTAAATTCGTCTAGGACGGCAATGACAGATGCAGTGACTCACTGACGTGCTGTGCACCAACAGAGACTGTACTTATTGGATTGCTTTAATTTATTTATCTTATTAGCAAAATTATTCAGCATGTGTTGGTTTAGCTTTGATATTGCCATAAGCAATAATGATATACTTCAGTTCCCAGCAGTGAATATTTCTTAACCGGACGTTCTTAGTGTTGAGGTAACTCGGACACGAAATGTCCATCAAATGCAGTAAGCCCCTCGTGCTTCAATGTGAACAGCCACGCGCAACGGGACACTCACTTGCCTCTCGTCTTTCTCTCTCTCTCTCTCTCTCTCTCTCTCTCTCTCTCTCCCTCTCTCTCTCTCTCTCTCTCTCTCTCTCTCTCTCACACATACACCCCCCCACACACACACACAAACACACACACACACGCGCGCGCGCGTCCTCCAGTCGCCTTAAGATAAAAACGTTTAATTTCTTATTTAAATGTCACATTATAACCATAAATCCAATATTGTGATATGTTTACTTTGACGAGTCCTCATTTTAAGTTACAATGAACCTAAATTTGTTCGAGACCTCCCACGATGCTTTGCAAATGAGGGCTACTACCTTTGAAGGAAAATGGGATTTCAGTGCTTTTTTTTTAATCTCAGACTTCAGTATCCATAAAAAGAAACATGTTTCACTCAATGACTTGTTGTAATTCCAGTACATGTGAAAAGTGTCAAGTTTAAATATTTTTTTGAGATAAATGGAAGAGATGCATCAAGATATCATAGTTGAAGCTGCCATACTTTAACACGTTAAATTCTGAATTTGTGAGAAGCACGAGATGGTATAAGCCACGTCAGCTGTCAGCGGGGAAATGGCTTCTCAAATTTCAGTTATTTGTAATTCCTGCCGCAGAAGTAGGTTTTCAAATGAGTGATAAATATCCGAGTTTAATGCTATTTAATTTGATATGAAAATGTGTAAGCTGCGTGATAAGTGAAAGTACATGTCGGTGAAGTGACATATATATATGTCGTTTCTGTCACTGACATAGAAAATGTACGTGCGAATTATGTGTTCAGATAATTTAATACACATAAAAGGAAAGAGATTAATTCATGTAATTTTATGTTATAATTATAAACTGCAGGAAATGGTGTTATGTACGTGGCTATACATAATCTTATATATACATATTATATATTGGTTCCCCCCACCCACAAAATGGATCGAAGCCCCTGGTGGAATACAATCAACGATATACACGATAAAGTCAAAAAAGCATTATTTGAAATGAAAAGTTTTGAAAATTCACCGACCTCTAGTAATCAGATGACCTAGTTTATGGCATGTAAACGATACAAACAATAGTTGATACTTGCAATTAAAATGCGCGAAAATGACCCTTTTAGAGACTAAAAATACGAAAAGTTCCTACCGTGGGAGGGGGGATCTCACACCCTCCCCCCGCTCGGCCGCTTCGCTTCCCCCGCAAGCTCTTGAACCAAGTCTGGTCGTCCCACTTTTTAAAATAGATTTGCGCCCTTGGGCAGAACGCACACCCGCTTGAGGGGTACGTGTGTGTGAGTGCCTTGACGTACGCGAAAAATAACATGTCAATCATCCAGGACTGCGAAAATTCCACGCGACGCAATTGTGAACCACATCCCGAAGAGCTCAGAAGTTATACAGTGACTGGGAGACAGCGAACGTGAACATTCGTAGCTGCGTAAGTTTTAGCGTTAGCATCTCATTTGATTAGGTAGCAACAATGCAGTTATGGATAGACAGATAGCCCAGGTACACAGATGGATTTCTAGAGGCACAGTAGACTTTGAGAGCAAGTTAGTCTGAATAGGTGCGCAGGTAGTTGGTTGGTCGGTTGGGTTGATGGTTGGGCTGTGTGGGTGATAAGATCGTTAGATCGGTCGCTCAGACGGTCGGTGATTGTGTCGGGCAGTTAGGCATGTAGACGGCTGGATGAATGGGAGAGCAAATGGATGGGTGACCAGATGCGCGGATGAATGAATTCATCCACGTATAAAATAGAGGGTTGCACGTGCGTGTGAACGGCCAGGGAGTCGTGGCTATAGTTGATGGTTGGCCCGTTACGTCGGGTTACACGAGTATGTTTATGCACGCGTGTGTTCGTGATAATAGGTAAACAAACGCTCTCAGCGAGTAGCGATGAATACTCATGAACGCGTAGTTCTCGGCGAGGTGCTAGGTATGTATAAGCGCTGGACGCTTGAGAAACCGGTGCGAATCGTGAGTGAGTGAGTACGCGGTGATCAGTACGAGTAGAACTCTGAGCGGAAGAGAACGGATGCGGAAGGATTTTTTTAGCTGCGCAAGTATAGGTTTAATATTAGCTTATGGAACCAATTGGATATAGATACCGCTGACGGTTGGATCCCTGTTCAGGCGACAATAGAGGGTGGCAGCGTGGTCTCCCATGCACCCACACACACACACACACAAGACAACACACACCACCACCCCCCCACACACACACAAGCCACACACGCAATAATACATACTAATATATAATATAATATACACACACCACTTACACACACCCCAACACACACAACACACACATTTCACACACACACACACACACACCACACACACAACACACACACACACACATACACACACACACGACATACGCACACATCACACACATCACACAGTACGACATCACACACAATACCCCACGCACAAACACACACACGACACAGCACAGCAACAACACACACACCAGCACACCACACAGCACGCGCGCGCGAATCAACGTAACGATTTAACAGTTTAACGCGAACATAAATTGAGATCATCGTGACCTATCTTCTCGTAACAAAGATAATATATTCCGACGCAAGAATGTGTTTACATGTCAACGACAGATAGATAGATAGATAGATAGATAGATAGATAGATAGATAGATAGATAGATAGATAGATAGATAGATAGATAGATAGATAGATGGATGGATGGATAGAAAGATGCATAGATGAACGACCGAATAAGAGATATATATCTATTTTTTATAGACATGGGTTATAATTAGCTAGTTGGTGGATATACAAATGGCTTGGTGGATATGAGTATTTTAATCGTTTTGTTTTTCTTATATTTGTTACCAGCAACGAAACGATGGCTGCCGTAATTATCGGACGTTTGTTGATAGCAAAGTTAGTCTTTGCTGCCGCCATATTGGACCGAGGTAGTTGCGAGGTAGACGAGGATATCATCGACCTAACGCACAAATACGCGAACACCAACATGGTTACGTGGCCGACGCATCTAAAGTTCAACATCAGCGTTGGGTTTAAGGGTAAGACGCCAAGTGGCGTATATTACGAGGCGAAACGCTTCTGTACGAGCGAGCATGCGGGTACGCACGTCGACGCACCTCTGCATTTCTACGAGCATGCGCAAAGCGTTGACGAGATACCGCTGAAGACCATGATTGGTCCTGGAGCCGTCATCGACGTGTCCAGGAAAAGTGAAATCAACCGAAACTACGAGGTCACCGTGCAGGACATCCTGGTAAGAAGAATATTGCTACCTATTTTCCCCTAGTCTACGTCATCGTCATTATTGCTGTGTTAAGCACGTGCATGCTACTGTGCGTATGCGCATAGCGTAAAAAGCATTCATGATACAGCTGTTTGTTGTTTTGCGTTTTCTGGTCGTTTCTCTGCTCTGCGTAATGCGTAGTTGAATTGCGTATTTTTCCAATTCAATTGTTTATATGAGCAGAATTTTAGATTAAGTCAACGCCGAGTCTATTGTCAACCCGTTTTTGTAATGTTTATAGACTGGTATAGATCGCTTATAGACACTGATATGAATTACGATAGATATCTTATTGATCGCTAACTGGCGTGGAAGCATGCGGCTAATTAAACCGGCGTGCCCCACGCGAGCCCAAAGATGAAAAACAATAGCACATCAAGTAATGCCAGAATATCCAGCTATTGATACCCGGTCGTGACCGTAACACGTCCGACCTGCCTTGAAACAAGATAGAAGAGTATATAATTGAAAGGAGAGAACAAGGCAGACAGTAAGACAGATGCGGAGAGACGGGACGGACAGAGAACCAGGAACGAAAGTCAAGATGTAGTTCTAGTAGGTGGTTTGTAGTTGAGGTATCTCTATATATAAAGTTGTTCAGCCGAATTTGTGTGTTCGCGCATAACTAGAGAACTCCGCAGCCTAGAGGAAAACTAAAGTATATTTTCAGACATTATCACGCTCTGGGAGGTGGTTCTGGCTGATTTCAAAAAGTTAAAAAAAGTTAAAAATTTATCAAAAAATTATAATTAATTCATGCAATAGACGCGCGGTACAGACTAACATTATACATCGACGTACGTGTGAATCCATTGGTGTAATAAGCATAACGTGCCCAGGAGGAGCCGAATGGATAAAGCATATCGGACTCCTATATCTCATTGATCTAGGTTCGAATCCCACCTGGGGGAACATGCCCTTTGTTTCTTTTTCTCTTTTGACTGTTTTAGCTCCTGGATGTACTTCTGCGATATTCACCGTTAATTTCAAATTGATTTTTTAGCCCCCACATTAACGTTTAGTAAAAAATCCAGAATAAACTATGGTAGTATGATAAATGATAGGCGCAAACTGACGGGAACAT